AGGATGATTCTACTATTATCGCATACTATTGGGCAGTTAGTAAATAACGTCCAGTCGACTGCTGTGTCACAGGACAAGGATCTGAATGTAGATGGTGCTGTTAGGTATATCTGCAAAGACGCAACGTACTGATGCTAGCAGTACAGAAACTGATGTATCTGATGTCGAGTTATTTGATATTGATGGTGTTAGTCTCTGTTCTGGACAGTCAGGGGCTACCATTGTCAGTGTCAACATAAATGAGATCAGCTTACATGACCACAGGGGTTTTGTAAAACTGAACCCAATGCAGAAAAGAAGATTTTAGACTTATATGAGCCAAGGGCACTTTAGGGATGTGGCCCTAGACATGGTGTCTAAACTCCCACTTCGAGCACCAGTTAAAAACCCTTTATTTGACGACATAATCACGCCAGCTGGTAAGACCCCAAATAAAGTACCTCTATTCAGAGATCGAGAATGAATGAAACCTACTTTTAGCCAAGTAGCAAGTCAAGCCAAGGTTTGTTCCTCTTGACTTGGCTAAGTGTTCCCTAAACCGGGGACAAATTGCACAGCCCCAGGAAGCCATCATTGAGACCGTTATTGTGTTAGCTTTGGACGAGTTCATGGTGGTGTGCTCTAATGACCAAACGGCTGAATGGGTCCATAAAACTGCTGCTGCGATTGCAACTAATGACAAACTAGGCGTTAAAGTGGCTGGGGAGTCGGAGTTTCTGAAGACACACCTAGTGCGGGGATACTTTTCGCACAGTTGTGACTCTGGAGCAAGTGGTCCCGCAGTTAATATCTATGTCAACAGTGAACCCAAATGAGCTTCCAACCACTTTTAGAGCCGCCATGCAACAGAAACTGCATGCGACCACTAAGAACACGACTTTTGAAGAAAGTCGGCGACACTTTTAAAACAGCGCAACAAAAATGAGCACCATAAAGGTGTATAAGAATGTCTAGGCGAACCTGTACCATGCGAAGGGAGCATCGGCTACTTTGTGCAGGACTTTCGCCATAAAATGACTGGCTATAGCGTTCATCTCGGAGCCATGGACATTTGGTGGGCATGTAAGAGGCCCTAAACATCAATCGAGTAAGTTGATATGTAAACGTGACATAAAGTTATCTACAACGGTTATACTAGTAAACAAAAATGTTAACTGTATTCCAATTCCAGATTTTATCCAGAGGCATTTGGTGTCAGCCATTATTGAGGTCCCTACGGAGTGTGGAATACGAGAGATCGTGATAGTGATGGCCTATTTCTCAGGCGATGCACATGAAGCACCAACTGAAGTAGTCACAAACTTGGTAAGTCACTGCAAATCCATTAATTTATAATTTAGAATTGGTTGTGACGCCAATGCGCATCATAGGATAGTACTTTCATAAATAGAATAGGGTAGCTGCTATTACAATACTTGAGTAGTAACAACATCAGCATATTGAACCCACTTTTATTAATGTTATTAGAAGAGAGGTCCTTGACCTTATTCTTTGCAGTCAATTTATCTCCAATTATGTTGTTAATTGGAGAGTCGAGGTTTCTTTCTGACCACCAACACATTATTTATTTAATTGAAAAAAGTATTTTCAAATCTTAACAAAACCAAAGTTCACAAAAACATTAAAATAAAAATTGTGTTTTATTTTGTTACTAATACATGCAAAGCAGCTGATAGACACAGCATTTGTTTTTTCACGAAAGTAAGAATTTACAAAAATTTAAAAAAAAATTTATATATTATCATTAATTCATATATTATCATTATTAAAACCTACAAACAAACCTTTAAATAAATAAACAACTAAAAGAAATATAAGAATAACAGCTAGTGAAACTGCTGTAGAAAATAGAACTAAATTAATTAATAATAAAAACGAAAATTTAAATAACATTTTCCCAAACAATCAAAAAGACATAATTTCAAACGAAACCAAACAATATGATTTCGGGTGTTTCAAACAAAGAAGCACCTAAACCAGCACAGGTTAAATTTTTAGAACAAATTCAATAACTTCAACTGCAGCTACAGCAATTGCACAACGAAGGGCAAATTCTTCTAAAATAAGAGATCAAATCCAAACATGCTCAACAATAATAATATGATTTCGAGTGTTTCAAATAAAAAAACTACCTAAATCAGCTCAGGTTAAATTTTCAGAAGAACAAATTCACAATTCCAACTGCAGCCACAACAATTGCACAACGAAAAACAATTTATTCCAAAATAAGAGATCAAGTTAAATCATGCTCAACAATAACACCAACTCTGCTGACAACAACTGGAAAATAGTTTCTAATCGTAAAAAAGGTAAGACACCACCATTTATAAACACTGCTGCTGCTACAAATTGGCACTGATCGATACTTTTCAACATTAAATAAACGTAAACCAACAAACCAGCAAACCCTATCTTCTGCAAAAGAAAATTCACGTACAATTATTAAAAGTCAAAACTCACAGAATATGTTTGCTATATTCGCGATAATGAAGAAAATAAAGTAACTAGAAACAAAATTAAAGTGTACAAATCGCCACAAATTTTTCTATGAGAAAATATTTCAAATGAATTGGTTAAGATTTTAACTGTCATATTAGGAGAAGACAGCTTTTACGTTGCTCCTTCAAAGAAAGGAAATATTCATGAAACCAAATTACAATTATCTACTGAAGATCAATCTACGAATCTAGTATCTGCCTTGGAAAAAGAAAAAAAAAAAACAATTTTATTCTCTCACCATCAAAGGTGCGCCAGGTCTAGATATAAGGGAAATTCAATCAGATTCAGAGGTAAAAAGTTTTGTATCAAAAGTATTTATAATATCATAAATAAAGAACAACCCCTATATAAAGTAGAGTTGAATTATGATGTAAGCAAGCTTAAAAAAGGGGAGTTCATTCGATATATTCTTAACAGTATTAAAATTAGCGTTGAGCAGCATGAGCGAAGAGAACCAGTACAATGCCTAAATTGTAACAAGTATGGTCACGCTACGACCTATTGCAAGCTCAACAGTGTATGTGTCATTTGTTCAGATTTGTACTCCACGGAAAGTTGTTCAAAAAGCAAACAAGTTGAAGAGGCCAAGATTTGCTCAAACTGCAAAGAACATCACACAGTCAAATATCGCGCCGGCCCTGTCTTTCTTGCCCTGAAGCGAAAAAATAAACGTAGCCAAACATATGCAAAGTCCTATCCTTGACATAAATCTCTCACCTGAGCAATTCTCTCACTTTAATAATAATAACTATACTGTCCCAAATGACCTTCCTCAAACATCGTATACTAATATCCTGAGGGAATTTCCAGATCAGAGAAACAAAAACAATAACACATAATCAGCTCCAATGTAGCCTATATTTTCTTTTTTTATGCAAAGGATGGAAAAGTTTATGAAATGGATGCAAAGTATGGTTCAATATTAATCAGTTTTATCCAGACTACTAAGAGCATACTGAACGCATTAAAAATCTACCACTGGAACGGTAATGGTTTAAGCTACAATATTCTAGAGATCAGTCGTCACTTATATTTAAACAATATCGATTTTATGGTAATTTCAGAGACACACTTAGCACAATGCGACATTATGAACTAGAGCAAGTTTCCGAAAAACATATTCAAGCTATTATTATCTGCATACTTATTGCCCAAATGAAACTAGTGTTATCAGTCGTATATTGCTCTCCTAGATTTTGATCATTTCACATAACATAATAATGCGAAAAAAACAAATTTTCCATCGGCCTTGAATGAGCTTATTTCTGCTAGGCGTAATGCAAGATAAGGTTTGCAAAGATATCATTCAATACAAACAGTTTAATACAAAAATATCTAGAAAGCCCTGTTTCACAAAAAGAACACAATTATTCGTTATGGAAAGCTGTAAAGAAATGTTAAGTTCCAATTCAAAGGCAAGATCGTAACGAAGAAAAAATAACTACTCTGCCACTACACCTGCAGAATTTTTTTCAGTCAAATCTCCAAATCAATGACTTCCAGCCTAACATATCTATCTCAGCTGAAATAAAAAATCCTCCAATTATAGAGCTTTCGGAATTTCAAGAAGTTATACTAATATTATTCCAAAAAAAACATCAGGGCAAGACCAAATAAATGGGAAAATGATTAAAAACTTGCCAGACACAGTAATTGTCTTCATTCTCATCATTTTGAACAGCATTTTGCCTCTTGCGTATTTTCTGATGGAAAAGAATCTTTAATTGCTACATTATATCGACCAATTAGTCTACTGCCACAAATCTCGAAAATTTTCAAAAAACTTCTAAAAAAAATCCTGATTTCCTCACCGATAGAAAACTTAAGGGCAAAACCAAATCAATTTGGTTTTCGCTAAGGGCATGAAACTTTTGTACAAATCTTTAGAATTGCTAATAAAATACACTTATCTTTACATTCAAAAGAATATGGCAATAAGACAGTTTTTCTAAAGTGTGGCTTTAGAAAAACTTTGAATTGTCAAAAATAAAGTGAGGCAGTCTGTTTACGAACGTCGGCTAGTGAAGTTGTGCACGCTAGTATTGCTATTGCTTGTATGCTTTTTGTTGTATTGTAATCTACACAAATACAAATATATATCAAACTACGCTAACTCTGTGTTTATTTTTGACAAATCGGAAGTGGGACACAAATCCAAAAGCGAATTGGAAAATACGGTATAAGTGAAAACAAGAAAACAAATAAGTGCATACTCGCCGGTAGACAGAAAGTGGTCGCCAGACAGACGACAAACGGTTAAACGGTAGTAGGGAAAAAAACATGCACGTACGCATGCTTTAACGAGAATCAACGGCGTCAGGATTCTAAGGAAAAAAACGTAATAAATAACATGCACGTACGCATAATTTAACGAAATTAACGGTGCTAATATTTGAAGAAAAGTAAACAACATAGAAGAGTTGCTAAAAACTAAAAGGGGTTGTGGTAGTTTTGTTCAAACAGTCAAACGGAGCGGTTGTGTTGAATTAAACAAAGCAACAATGTTAACGAAGTTGAAGGAATTACGCATAAAAGATCTTAACGTGATCGTAAATGCAAATGGGATTCGAGTAGTGGGTAGTAAGCAAACTAAAATTGCGGAACTAGAAAAGGTGTTAGGAAGTGACGAAATCGACACTGAAGATTACGACCTAGATAAATCTGAAGAAAGCGTAAGCATGGCAAAGCAGTTTGAAGAGCTAAAAGACATAGTGATGAATTTAACCCAAACGGTGCACGCAATGACTATGCAACAGCCAGAGGAGGTCACGCAACGACAGGAAAGTTTGGCTGAGGCAGCAGTGACGGGTGTGCGGACGGAGGCAATAAGTTCACCAGTATCAACAGCAATCACAAGGGCAGATACAGTACAAGGTAACTCAATTGTTAAAGATGTTGTAGGAGTACTGCCTGAGTTTGATCCGATCAAAGGTTGCATAACATCTGAACAATTTATAACAAAAATCGAACAGCTTCAACGAGTATATTGCTGAAAAGATGAAACAATTTTGTTTGCGGCTCAGCATAAAATGAAGGGAGTAGCAAAGGAATGGCTGGATGCGCAACCAGTATTTGAAACTTGGCAGGAGTTTGTACGGGCGTTAAGCCAGGATTTTTCAAGCTTAATAAATTCGGCAGATGCGCACAGAGAGATGATGCGACGCAAGCGTAAATATAACGAAACGCTTACCGAATATTTTTATAGCATGTTAGCTATGGGACGGAGAGCGAATATGGACGAGCCATCTATAAATTCGTATATAATAAATGGGCTAAATCAACCGGAGTCTACAAGAGCATTGTTAGCAATAAATGTGCGTTCATGCTCAGAACTTCTTCAGTCGATACAAAATATGAAGTCAGCCCAAAGTGTTCCACAGCATTTTAATTTCCCAACGGCAAAGTCAGCAGACATTAACTACAATAATGAAATAGCAAAGGGACCCAAGTGCTATAATTGCAATCAGATGGGGCACATTGCAATCAAATGTACGGCTCCACAACGAAAATTACGCTGCACGAAGTGTTTAAAGATAGGCCATGAAGAAAAGAATTGCAAGACAAAAGGTTCATCAATATCACAAGTTTACGAAGAAAAAACAAACGCGTACCCTCCAATTCTGAGAAAAATTAAAATTGGGTCTTCTGAAGTGTTAGCATTTGTAGACACTGGGAGCGATAACACTTTAATTAAAGATTCTTCTGTTCCGAAAGATGTAAGTAGACAACTATCGGTGAAGAGGTTGCAATGATTTGGTGGTGCAGTTGTAGAATCACGGGAACGTATTTTAACAAAAGTCGAGTATGAGGGCAAACAGCTGTTTACATCTATTCAAGTGGTTCCTGACGAATTCCTCGTGTATCCAGTTCTCCTAGGTAGAGATGTCATCAGCCATAACAATAATCTGATAAAAACTGAAACTGAAACACAAGTAGGTGTATCAGTTAATCGACAACATTTTGATATAAGCGCTGATATCAACGGTACACAGCGCAAGCAGGTGAGTGCCTTACTAAAACAATTTGAAAGTTGTTTTGCCGAAGATCTTTCCAATATTGGCAGATGTAAGACGGCAGAAATGAAGATCGAAGCATCATTTACGAAACCGATTTTGGGCAAACGGTATCAAGTGCCTTTTTCCCAAAGAAGTACGCTACGCTCAATTCTCGATGATCTTTTAAAAAAACAACATAATTCAACGCAGTACATCACCACACGCAGCATCGGCGTTATTAGTACCCAAGGCAAACGGGGAAAATCGATTATGTATTGATTATCGTGCATTAAATGCAGTGACGGTTAAGAAACAATATCCAATGCCTATAGTGGAAGAGCAATTAGCTAAATTGGCAGGGAACAAATATTTTACCACGTTAGACATGACGTCGGGATATTATCAAATACCGATGAGTGACTACAGCAAACTATTTACAGCTTTTATGATCCCGATGGTTTGTTTGAATATAATGTTATGCCATTTGGCTTAGTCAACGCACCAATGGTATTTCAAGAGGTCGTTTCAAACATAATAAGAGGGCTTGAGAATCAGCACAAGATCATTAGCTACGTGGACGAAGTAATCATTGCATCAACTTCAGTTGACGAGGGACTAACCATATTAAAAGAATTTCTTAATGCAATGGCTTCAGCTGGCTTAACGTTACGACCGTCGAAATGTTCTTTTATGCAGACAAAAGTAAAGTTTTTGGGACACGTCATAAACAATGCTGGTATTCAGCCGGGTACAGAGAAAACACGATGTATTGATGAATATCCACAACCGAGAAACGAAACTGAAGTACGCAGATTTTTAGGTGTTACAGGATTTTTCCGTAAATTTGTTAAGCAATACAGTTTGATAGCTCAACCGTTAAGTAAATTCCTCAAGAAAAATCATCAGTTTATATGGGAAGAGGAGCAAAACAACGCTTTTAAACTTTTGAAAGCAGCCATTACATCACAGCCTGTATTGACGTTATATGATCCAACAAAATATCATGAAGTTCATACAGACGCAAGTGCAACAGGAATTGCTGCAGTACTATTTCAACGAGAGCAAGAGAGTTTAAGACCAGCGTTTTATTATAGTCGTTTGTGCAGTGATGCCGAAAATCGCTATTCAAGCCACGAACTTGAAGTACTGGCAATTACAGAAGCGCTAGAAAGATTTCGAATATACTTGCTAGGAGCAAAATTTTTAGTGGTAACAGATTGTAACGCAGTAGCTACTCTTAAAGCGTCAACAGCACTAATACCACGTGTAGCTCGTTGATGGTTAAAGCTACAGGAGTTCGATTTTGAGTGCATTCATCGCGCAGGTGAACTTATGCCACACGTAGATGGTATGAGCAGACAAGCAGTGCTTCAAACACCAGACAAGCAGTTAACAGTTGCGGATAACGTGTTAAAAATTACTCCAATTGATGAAGACTGGGTGTTCACCATGCAAAAACAAGATCCAAAAATAAAAGAAATTTGCGAAATACTCCAAGGCAAGAACGATTGTACACACTGGCCACAGGTGAAAGAAGATTATGTTATCTTAGCGAGTCGATTATATCGCAAAACGGAAAATGGAAACAAGCTTGTTATTCCACAGGCGGTTCGGTGGCGTATGCTGAAATCCAACCATTATGATGCAGGGCATTACGGAACAGAAAAAACTTTAGAACGTATGCGACGTTATTTTTGGTTTCCGCGTATGAGAAACAACGTAAAGTCTTATATAGCATCATACCCAGAATGTTGTATAAACAAAGTGAAAGGAGGAAAACCTGTAGGAGAACTGCATGTAGAAGATGTCATACCAATACCATTCAGAACAATTAATATTGATCACGTTGGACCGTTTCCAAAAAGCAAAGCAAGAAATTGCCATATCTTGGTAATTGCTTGCGCATTCTCTAAGTATACGTTTTTGACAGCAGTGCGAAATACAAAAACAACACCCGTTATAAAGGCATTGAAACAGATGTTTTCAGTATTTGGTCAACCACAGCGCATTATATCGGATAGAGGCACGTCGTTCACATCAAAAGAATTTGAAAAGTTCGTAAAACAGCACGGAGTTCAACATATTAAAACAGCGGTGCGTACTCCTCGTGCCAACGGCCAGGTGGAGAGAATTAATAAAACAATATTAAGTACTCTAAAATGTAGTACAATCAAAAACATGGAATGGGATCAACATTTATCAAAGATTCAATGGACTATAAATACGAATACCAATTCAACAACGAAATTCACTCCTAACGATTTGATTTTTAATTTTAACC